AGGGTTGTATGTGGCAGTGGGAGGGTTGTATGTGGCAGGGTTGTATGTGGCAGGGTTGTATGTGGCAGTGGGAGGGTTGTATGTGGCAGTGGGAGGGTTGTATGTGGCAGTGGGAGGGTTGTATGTGGCAGTGGGAGGGTTGTATGTGGCAGTGGGAGGGTTGTATGTGGCAGTGGGAGGGTTGTATGTGGCAGTGGGAGGTTTGTATGTGGCAGGGTTGTATGTGGCAGTGGGAGGGTTGTATGTGGCAGTGGAAGGGTTGTATGTGGCAGTGGGAGGGTTGTATGTGGCAGGGTTGTATGTGACAGTGGGAGGGTTGTATGTGGCAGGGTTGTATGTGGCAGTGGGAGGGTTGTATGTGGCAGTGGGAGGGTTGTATGTGGCAGTGGGAGGGTTGTATGTGGCAGTGGGAGGGTTGTATGTGGCAGTGGGAGGGTTGTATGTGGCAGTGGGAGGGTTGTATGTGGCAGTGGGAGGGTTGTATGTGGCAGTGGGAGGGTTGTATGTGGCAGTGGGAGGGTTGTATGTGGCAGTGGGAGGGTTGTATGTGGCAGTGGGAGGGTTGTATGTGGCAGTGGGAGGGTTGTATGTGGCAGTGGGAGGGTTGTATGTGGCAGTGGGAGGGTTGTATGTGACAGTGGGAGGGTTGTATGTGGCAGTGGGAGGGTTGTATGTGGCAGTGGGAGGGTTGTATGTGGCAGTGGGAGGGTAGTATGTGGCAGGGCTGTATGTGGCAGGGTTGTATGTGGCAGTGGGAGGGTTGTATGTGGCAGTGGGAGGGTTGTATGTGGCAGTGGGAGGGTTGTATGTTGCAGTGGGAGGGTTGTATGTGGCAGTGGGAGGGTTGTATGTGGCAGTTGGAGGGTTGTGTGTGGCAGTGGCAGGGTTGTATGTGGCAGTGGGAGGGTTGTATGTGGCAGTGGCAGGGTTGTATGTGGCAGTGGGAGGGTTGTATGTGGCAGTGGGAGGGTTGTGTGTGGCAGTGGCAGGGTTGTATGTGGCAGTGGGAGGGTTGTATGTGGCAGTGGGAGGGTTGTATGTGACAGTGGGAGGGTTGTATGTGGCAGTGGCAGGGTTGTATGTGGCAGTGGGAGGGTTGTATGTGGCAATGAGAGGGTTGTATGTGGCAGTGGGAGGGTTGTATGTGGAAGGGTTGTATGTGGCAGTGGGAGGGTTGTGTGTGGCAGTGGGAGGGTTGTATGTGGCAATGAGAGGGTTGTATGTGGCAGTGGGAGGGTTGTATGTGGCAGTGGGAGGGTTGTATGTGGCAGTGGGAGGGTTGTATGTGGCAGTGGGAGGGTTGTATGTGGCAGGGTTGTATCTGGCAGTGGGAGGGTTGTATGTTGCAGTGGGAGGGTTGTATGTGGCAGTGAGACGGTTGTATGTTGCAGTGGGAGGATTGTATGTGGCAGTGGAAGGGTTGTACGTTGCAGTGGGAGGGTTGTATGTGGCAGTGGGAGGGTTGTATGTGGCAGTTGGAGGGTTGTATGTGGCAGTGGGAGGGTTGTATGTGGCAGGGTTGTATCTGGCAGTGGGAGGGTTGTATGTGGCAGTAGGAGGGTTGTATGTGGCAGTGAGAGGGTTGTATGTTGCAGTGGGAGGATTGTATGTGGCAGTGGAAGGGTTGTACGTTGCAGTGGGAGGGTTGTATGTGGCAGTGGGAGGGTTTTATGTGGCAGTGGGAGGGTTGTTTGTGGCAGTGGGAGGGTTGTATGTGGCAGTGGGAGGGTTGTATGTGGCAGTGGGAGGGTTGTATGTGGCAGTAGGAGGGTTGTATGTGGCAGTGGGAGGGTTGTATGTGGCAGTGGCAGGGTTGTATGTGGCAGTGGGAGGGATGTATGTGGCAGTGGGAGGGTTGTATGTGGCAATGATTGGGTTGTATGTGGCAGTGGGAGGGTTGTATGTGGCAATGATTGGGTTGTATGTGGCAGTGGGAGGGTTGTATGTGGCAGTGGGAGGGTTGTATGTTGCAGTGGGAGGGTTGTATGTGGCAGGGATGTATGTGGCAGGGTTGTATGTGGCAGTGGGAGGGTTGTATGTGGCAGTGGCAGGGTTGTATGTGGCAGTAGGAGGGTTGTATTTGGCAGTGGGAGGGTTGTATGTGGCAGTGGGAGGGTTGTATGTGGCAGGGATGTATGTGGCAGGGTTGTATGTGGCAGTGGGAGGGTTGTATGTGGCAGTGGGAGGGTTGTATGTGGCAGGGATGTATGTGGCAGGGTTGTATGTGGCAGTGGGAGGGTTGTATGTGGCAGTGGGAGGGTTGTATGTGGCAGTGGGAGGGTTGTATGTGGCAGTGGCAGGGTTGTATGTGGCAGTGGGAGAGTTGTATGTGGCAGTGGCAGGGTTGTATGTGGCAGTGGGAGGGTTGTATGTGGCAGTGGGAGGGTTGTATGTGGCAATGATTGGGTTGTATGTGGCAGTGGGAGGGTTGTATGTGGCAGGGATGTATGTGGCAGGGTTGTATGTGGCAGTGGGAGGGTTGTATGTGGCAGTGAGAGGG